ACTGATGGGCAGAAAGCCCGCCAGGCACCATCACCTCGCCTGGGTGCTTTACTCTTGAATCCAATTCCGATCGATCGTGACATTGACATTGTGAAATTTCGTACTCTTGCGTTATAACACTAGCGCCCATTGCATCCGTATTGCGTGGATATTGAATGAACTAAATGGTATCGAGTTTGGCTTCATATTCCGTACTCTGAATGCTATTGTAACAGCTACGGTAGGGGTTTATAGTGTTGACATTGAATAATTATTGAGATTTTATTGGATTTGAATTGCATTGACATTGAGATTGGTTTCAAGAGTAAGCACCCTGGTCGGAGGATCCTCCTTTTCCGATATCAGGGAACTTTCCACTCTATTCCCTAAAGCATTATATTTAAGTACAACTTCAAATTGTGTAGCTTTTCAGTATTCGGAAATCGCGTATCCCCCAGCCCGCCACACAAAACAATGCTGGACTGATGAGCCACGACATAGCAATGCGCTGTCCACCGCAAGGAGAATATTAATTAATCGAGTACAAGAATCACAATATAATAGAGTGCCAATATTCTTGCGGACAAGTTTGGTCAGAGGGCATTGACATCCAGACATTTATAGAAATATGTGTTATAGCCGGTAAACGAGCAGACGGGTCACCTGATGGTAAGCAATCGGCGTCGCCCATGGACACCTGGAACACTTTTTTTTTTTAAGGGGGGAAAATCATCGAATGACTGCTCCCGCCTGGGTGAGGCGGAAGGGAGTGTCAGACTCTTACTGACTAAAAACCACCCCGTTCCTTCTCCTGCACGTCGAGCCGGAGCCCCGGTTACCCGTTAGGTTCTCCGCGACACACCTGGAACACTAGAGGCGCTGCAAATGCGTTACCGTTTTAGGACCCACTTAGATTTTAGTCAAATTTCCGTGGTGCTTGGCGACTGTGCTTCACCCAGTTGTACAGTCTCTTTTCTTTGTGCCTTTAGGCTTAATTCATTCTGTCTCCTGCACTATTTCACCGAGGGAAGTGGAAACTATCGTTTTCTTCTCCTCTTATAATATCTTCTGATTCACTTCGTTGCGGGAACCAAGACAGTTACTCATGTCCCTGGGACGCTCCGGACTTCAGTGTTCCGGTGTTTTCATGGTTGTATCTACTGTAGATCCTGGCTTACAGGAGTTGCAGCGGTTTTGGTAGGTTGTGGCGGGCTTGTCCCTAAAAAAAAGTGCGTTACCGGCCTTTTGGGGATTAATAATTTGAGGACTGTTGGGGATTCGGGGATTAGTGAGATTGGGGAAGAGCCCCCTCTTTGGTGATAATTGGGGGTAAATTATTTGTCAGGTATTAACGTTTAATTCTCGGATCGAACATATAATGATTTGTTACTAATTTCCAATCGTTTAGTTTGACGGCGTCTCTTATTTTGATAAGTTATCCTTTAATATTGTCAATTTGTCTTATCTCTCGCTTATTTCGTGGCCCCACACTGTCTCCGCTTTGCATAAGAATGATGCAGTTTCTAAAATTGTAATCCATTGTCTTTGGTACGATATATAACTGAAGACGGACAATACATACGTAATGTTACACCTGTTAATCACGAAAAGGGTAGACAGAGGTTATAATAATATCATCAGCAATGGCTTTCACCTTTAGTGAGAGTTTGCCATAATCCCCACATTTGGCAAAAAGGTTGGAGACACTTTAGATAGACAGTGTCTAATAAATCTTAAAATACCATATTTAATTTACATCCTCTAACCTAAATAGGGACTTAACAATAATCCCCACACTTGGCAAATGGGTTGGAGGTAGAAGTTTCTAAATAACTCTTAATGTATTCAGGGTTTGGGAAGTTTCTGCAATCGGCCTAGCAGTGCCGAAGCATGGCTCTCCCACATTAAAAAGATTTTTTTTGTAATGAAAAAAGTGTTATTTGCCCATGATACTAATCATAAACTAATTGTTTGTTTCAGGTATGAACATGTGATCAGTTAAGAAAAGAATATCTAAAAGCCTTTACACACAGGTAACTCACACTTAATATTAAATGATTTTATTATAATCATCATCGTCAACAGCCTATAAATGGCCACTGCTGACCAAAGGCCTCTTACTCGGAGGTTTGAGCATTAATCACCACAGTTGGCGATTTCAAACTGACAAACGGATTAAACGTCGATGCTTCATGGAGAGTTTTCCTTGTTCCTAAATAAGATGGAGACGTATGTCATATGCAGGCCGTCTATGCAGTTTATGAAGGATGCGTGCATTCGTCAAATGACACAACCCTTACTCAATATGCTCACACAGTAACAGTAGGTAACTTAAAACAACTTAACCCTCTTTTTCTGCTCACCCCCTACATCAAACTGAAGCTAGTTATGCAAGTCAGTAACCACTGAAGTCTGGTACCAGCCATGAATATTCCAAGGGAATTAAAATCTTCACTTGAAGCCAGAGCCGTATTGAGACAATTTAAGCAAATAACCTAGGGCGCCAGGGACGATCTCCGACCACCGTAAGCAGGCCTGCGGACGGCGAGCATGGGTGGCTCCCCGTCCGACCAGAAACAGACCCGAGCGTACGGTGCCGAGCGTTCCGCGCGCGCCTCAAATAGCCATCAGACCACTACGGATGGGGCCCAATAGGGCCGATGCCGATTCAGAGTCGCGGAGAACCTAACGGGTTACCGGGGCTCTGGGTCAACGTGCCGAAGAAGGAACGAGGTGGTTTATAGTCAGTAAGAGTCTGACACTCCCTCCCGCCTCACCCAGGCGGGAGAAGACATTCGATGATTTTCCCCACTTAAAAAAAAAATGGGCGCCAGATCACAGAGGGGCGCTGCAAGACGCGCTTGCCACCTGCTCATAGAGTTGCGGTGGCGTCAAAAATATAGGGGCGCCTATAATGCGCTGTCTACGTTTAATCCGCCCCTGCTTGTAACACTGCTAGACTGAATTCCAGTGTGTTTTTACTCAAACTGTCCACTGAAAGCTATAGATAAGTGACTTTTCTTTCATTTAAATAATGTTCTTTTGCTTTTACATAAAATATATTGAACATCTTGAAAACTATTGTTTAACTCTGTTTTTAGGGGGGATATCATTCAATGACCCCTCCCGCCTAAGAGGGAGTGTCAGACTCTTACTGAGTAAACACCACCCCGTTATCATTCCTGCACAGAGCCGGAGCCGCGGTAACCCGCTAGGTAGTCCGCAGCTCTGGGTCGGACGTCACCCTATTTAATTTCTATGGAATTTTTTAAAGGACTTGAACACTTAAACGCCCATCATCTTATAACTATTCCACTGCTGACCAAACGCCTCTTCTCACACGGATAAGGTTTGAGTATTAATCACCACGCTTGCTCAATGCGGATTGGCAATTACAAACTTATAATTAAAAATGACTGCCTCGCTGGCCGAGTGGTCGCAAGTACGACTGCCGGGCACGGGGTCTCGGGTTCGATTCCCGGGTCGGGCAAAGTAATACTGGGTTTTTAAAAAAATCTCAGTAGTAGCACGGAGTCTGGAATTGTGCCCGGTATATGGCAATAGACTCACCCCCTATTACATGGGACTCGTAACATAAATAGTGAAAAGTCGGTGTTACATTGTGCAGTGGTATAATGTGCACCTCTGCCTACCCCTTCGGGGATAAAAGGCGTGGTGTTATGTTACGTAATTAGAAATTATAAGTCCAGATTTCCTCACGATGTTTTCCTTCACCGTTTGTCAGTGGTGTCTAAATAATCTTAGAAAGTACATATAACGGGGAAAATGTCACATTGGGTTTGGGTTTCGAGCTCGCACCTTCATGCATGAGAAGCGAGGATCTTAACATTATGTTATTTTCCTGAAAAATGTCTCCCTTTACAATGAATTCAGTGATGTGTATCAGCTACGTGTCAAACTATACAGAACCATTTTATCATGGTCTCTGTTTACGCGATCTTTCCATACATTCAACGGTCTGTTTATACTGGTTTTACTGGGCTATGAAAACCATTTTATCATGATCTCTCTTTACACGATTTTTCCTTATATTCAACGGTCAGATTATGCTGGTTTGTATAGCTTGATGTGTGCAAATATGTTAGTCTAATTTCAACCATGAACGAATGCTTGTTAAGGTGTGAAATCTAATGGAAAAGAAAATACATTCTTACCACGGAAACCATATCTTTTTGTTTGGAGGTTACATAATGTGTATTTCACTACATAGTATAAAACAAAGTCGCTATCCGCCGTCTGTCTGTCCCTATGTATGCTTAGATCTTTAAAACTACGCAACGGATTTGGATGCCGTTTTTATTAGATATACAACATGTAACGTAATTAACGCACACCCTCAAACACCCCAATTAGAATATTATGTTATAATCATAATACATACACTAAATTTTTAATTTAACATGTCTATGCATCCTTACCGGTCTTGTCATAAGGTTTATTTTTCTTTATTTTATATTGAATGATAGAATTTGTATGAATACATATAAAACTGCGATTTTAAAAGTCTTATTGCTTTGACTTACGGTCCATTTCGATTTGTTTTAACAATACAGGGTTAATATGAGAATAATTTTCGTATTTTTAATTATTTTTGGGATAAAAAATTACCTATAATAAAAATTATATAAATCGATTCAGTTAACGATTCTGAACAAACTATTTTCAGGATGTGCGTTATTTAAGTTACATGTTGTATATTTTTTATTGAAGTTTCATCCAATTCAATTCAGCAGTTTAGGCGATAGAGCGCAACATACACTTCAAATTGTCTGAAGGATAAAAAGGTCTGATGTTTGGGCTTTACGTAATACATTCCCACATTTGTTATTGTTGTATTGTCATAGAATATGACACCACTTGCAATGGGGACAAGGCAGTGGCATTATGTCATACGCTGTCAGTTTTGAAGAATTGATATAGAAAATTATAGTCTGGGAAAGTAAGTTGCTGTATATTGGAATTGTTTTTATACATGAGATTGGCTAATACTTGGTGTCTCGCCCGTTTTTTTATGGGATAAGCCGATAAACGAGCAGACGGCCTATAGACACTTGGAACACTAGAGGCGTAACAAATGCGTTACTGTCCTTTTGTGGATTAGGAGTACGAGGATTGTTGGGGATTCAGGTATTGGGAAAGGGGGCAGGGGTAATTGGGCCTCCGGTAACCTCACGCGTTGCTTCACGTCGGTATTCTGTGAGGTCGTGGTATCACTCCGGTCGAGTCGGCCTCTGTATCGCCGTGTGAGTGAGTTTACCGGAGGCACATACCTCACCCTCCCCCGATTCTCAATCTATAAATATCTAATCTAGTTCTCAAATCCCTGACCCCCAAAAGGTCGGTAACGCACTAGTAACTCATCTAGTGTTCCAGGTGTCCATGGGCGACGCTGATTGCTTACCATCAGGTGATCCGTCTGCTCGTTTACCGCTGTATCCAATAAAAATGACCGAATAGCTTGACAAACACATAAAAATAATTGTTAGTTTTTAATTAGTGACATAGAAAATTGCTTTTGTTAATCCAATTGAAATAAGTGCTCTGACTTTGACCAACTTTTGACCATTTATGTTATTAACTTCATGCGATGAATTGAAGTACATATGTGTTGCAAAAGACTGACCATAATTTGAAACTCCCAGAACTATGAAATAATGGATATTGTGAAATTTTGAGTACCTACTTGGTATATGGTTAGGTTCCGGATTCTCATCATGCGAGAGGTGAGTGCAAGATCAACGCCTTATCTTACACTACTTCCGCGCGGTTTCACTCGCTCTGCTCGGCGCCTATTAATCGTAGCGTGATATTTTATAGCCTATAACCTTCCTCGATAAATGGGCTATCCAACACAGAAAGAATTTTCCAAATTGGACCAGTACTTTCGGAGATTAGCGCGTTCAAACAAACAAACAAAAAACAAACTCTTCAGCTTTATAATATTAGTATAGATAACATCACACCTTTTATCCCTGAAGGGGTATGCAGAGGTGCACACTATGGTACTTAATGCCACTGTAACATCACGCCTTTTATCCCCGAAAGGATAGACAGAGGTGCACATTCCGGCATTCCACTTAATGCCACTGTAGAATGTAACACCCACTTTTCACTATTTATGTTATGAGTCCCATGTATAGGGGGTGAGACTATTGCCATATACCGAGCACAATTCCAGACTCCGTGCTACTACAAATTTGAATTATTATACGTTTTTTCCCCTCATTCCCATGATGCAAGAGGTGAGTGCAGGATCAACGGCTTTGTAGAGGCCTTATCTTACATAACATCACGCCTTTTATCTCGGAAGGAGTAGGCAGAGGTGCACATGACAGCACTTAATGCCACTGTACAATGTAACACCCACCACCCTCCACCCGTGCGGGGACCCGTCTCGGGTTCCGGGCCGGGTCGGGCAAAGTATTACATGGGTTTTAAAAATTCTTAGTAGTAGCACGGAGCTTGGAATTGTGCCCGGTATGTGGCAATAGGCTCACCCCCTATTACATGGGACTCATAACATAAATAGTGAAAAGTGGGTGTTACATTGTACAGTGATATTTACTTCGGGGATAAAAGGCGTGATGTTATACTATGTATAACTGTCAATGATTACTTTCTTATATTATACTCAGAAATAGAACTACATGTCGAACCCAATTCTAGCGGTTATTTTAAACCATTGCTGTTTTATAACAGTTTTGTCGAGTACTATAGTTATTAAAAAACCATTACGTGGTTTCTGTAACCGGAAGTATAGTGATTATAACGGATAATGTTTCCGGTTGGACATGGTTCGGTTAGAAGGGAGAGAAACATCACGGTTTGGTTAATAGAGGTACGGCAGGGGTGTTTCAAATAAAAGGTGAACTAATGTGTGTGTGTGATTAATTATTGTGACAAATTTTTATCATTATAATCGTCATGAACAATTATTAGTTACTAGCTTTTACTCGCGGCTTCGCTCGCGTCACAAAATAATAAAAAGTAGCCTATGTGACACATACCAATACACACAGCGCCATCTATACCAATACTTTTGTTTTCCTCGGGAATATCAATTTTTCCGGGTTAAAAAGTACCCTATTATTTAATCCGGACTTCTAACTTTACGTCTGCAAAAATTCAAAGCAATCGGTTGAGTAGTTACGGCGTGAAGGTGGAACAAACAAACAAACTCACTTTCAGATTTATAATATTATTAGTAAGGATGTTTCTTTAAAGGGTGGATTGCATTGTCAGTTCTGAATGTATCTACTTATGGTTTAAAATCTAAAAAACAGCCTAAATGTTTCGTTACCGAAAAAATACCCACGAAATCCAATAACTAACAATCGATCCAAAATAAATTACAGGATTCAATTCAGAATCTTTAAGTTTGATCGAAGTTTTTGATATAAATAGGGATGATGACAGGGTTTGAAAATTAAAAATGTAATTAGTCCGTCAGTTAGGTAATGAAAAAATATTAGACACGTATTTTTTTATTTTGTCGTATAATAAAACAATACTTAGATATAAAACGAATCAAAGTTTACGAGTGGGGGCTAAAACGTCATTTCTACGTATAAAATGTGCATAGAAGTGACGTCACGCGACATTTCAAATCTATATATCGTGGAAAGTATTTGTTTCCGTGAGAAAATAAAAAATACGTGTTTAATGTGTTTAAATAATGTACCAGACGGACATTAAAATGAAAATTAGTCATTTACCCTTGTACAATTCGTACACTTGCAGTTGATGTTGAAGTGTGCAGAGAAAAGATCACTCGGATAATGTAAGTATAAAGTTTATTGCACCCAAGTGTAGTACAGTGTAGCACAGTTGGCAATTCCTTTCTCATTAGGTGTTTACTTCGTTGTTAGTATAAACACACTCTCCTCGATAATTACTTGATATGTGATTATATACCTAAGCAATATCGCGCGATCGTACCGATCTTAATGGCAGCAAAATATCTATGTATCGTTGAAGACTGTACAACCCTATTCTATAGAACGAATGTCAAAGATTTTAGTTATTACCTACCTGATTCCAGTTAGTAGACATGTTCCTAGATAATACCGTTTTATCTTTCTAAACAATAGATACATGTCCCGCCTAACCTGCAGTCGAGCTCGAAGTCTCAGCTTCCATAATTAGGCTTCCAAAAATACTTGGAACTTTGCGCTCGACAGTCAAAGTGCATCTCCAAGTTATCGGCAGACAGTATTTCCATATGTTTTTATAATAACTATCTAACGGGTTACTCACGTGAATATACTGAGAAAAGCTCTACTAGTTTCGAACCACAGAGGGGTTCTTTCTCATGAGCAGCGTGCGCGGTCGCGGCGATGTCACGCAATCTACTCATAGGCTAGATCTTTCCTCAGTATATTCACGTGAGTAACCCGCGATTTTTAATTAATTTGGTATGTCCATAGTTTACGACAAATCGAATGTTGTATCGCTAATACCTCTATTTCACCGTACCGTTAACATAATTAATATCACACCATTTAAACATCAAAATTATGGAATAATTAATCATATAAACAACTCTTGATTTCCTGGGAACCTACTTACCACACAACGAGTAAAATAAATGGTTATTAACAGCACATCAACGTATACCTTATTGTATAAAACTTTTATGGGAATTCCAACTTTAATAGTGAGAGAATAAGTTTGGTTATCTATGAACAGATAGCAGCATATCAATCTACACCTATTGTACCAAATATTCACTGCAAATTACACTTTAAATGTAATAAAACACGGTTCAAATTTCACGAAACAAAGATGCCAGCTTCTCAAGCTATAGTATTCTGACAATCTGTACGACTTTAAAAACAATACAATAAGGTTGAAAATCCTTGAATTAAACCAGTTTGGTCTACCTCAATATGCAATTGTGTCCACAATAAATGGGTACATTAGACCCTTTTCTAAAAATAAAACAAATGCCTCCACTTTAGGGTTGACCAATGTTTTTTACTTTTTTTTTTACATTTTACGGTAAAAAAGGCCGTTATCTGTCCATCTTATTTCCCGCCCTATTTCACGCTCTGCGTGTGGCAACTCACGCTTGACCGTTTTGTTGCCTTCTGCAGGTTTTTTTTTGATAAAATTATTATTATACTACCTATGTGACTTTCGGAAGTTGAAAAACGTGTGAATCCTGTGTCGATGGCTGCGTTGTTAAAAATCCTACTAGTGAGCAAGGGATCTTGAGTTCATTTCTCTTTTTTTGGTCACGACTGCCTCGTTGACCGAGTGGTCGCAAGTGTGACTGCTGACCGAGGGGTCTCGGGTTCGATTTACCTCTCCGACTCAGACCTCTGAGTTTGTTTCGGCATTTCTTCTCAGAGTAGTTAGTTAGGAAATGTCGACCTCATCGTTCGCTTGATAAAATTGACGTGTAAAAGTGCTGCCTTGTAGCCTATTTGCAGAAATAAATTCACTTGTTTCACTTGTTTCACTTGATTCCCGGGTCGTGCAAAGTATTACGTATAAGTATTAGCACGGAGTCTGGAAATGTACCCGTTATATGGCAATAGACTCACCCCCTATTACATGGGACTCATAACATAAATATTGAAAAGTGGGTGTTACATTGTACAGTGGCATTAAGTGCCGTAATGTGAATCTCTGCCTACCCCTTTGGGGATAAAAAGCCGTGACAATGATGTTATGAGATCACGAATCAGCGTATACAATTAGAACTTAGGTACATCTCCTTCCGTTAAAAAAATCACGAAAAGGGACGCAAAAAAATGAAGCGAAAAGCATTCCCTGGAATATATAGCAAGATGGACTCTCTCTAAATAGGATTTCCTGGTGTCTATCACAAAAAGCATCGCAGATGGCTCCACATCCGATTTAGGACACAAAATAAGAGCAAAAGTGAGGATTGAGTCTCGATAGCTTTCAGATTTACATAGGTACTACCTAGGTAGGTGTTGTTTGTAGATAGAGGTCGTAAGCTTACCTGTCCTTTTTTGACGAGATACAACTTTTGAAACTACTTCAATAAAGGA